AATGGTGTGATTAGTTGTTTCCATACAGGAAACATTCAGAATTTATTCACTGAGAAGTTGGTGTCACTCTCAGTCGACATGACATCTTTCTTTTAAAACGTTTTGTCAAGAAAATAGGCTTCTCTTATCACTCTTTCTAATATTGATTGGGGTTTCCTTCCTAACCTTTTGTTTTAGGTAGTGTGGAAGATCAATATCTTGATTATATTATTTTCACTTCTAGTTTTATGTGTTCTCCATTTTAGTTACTTATACTATTGAAAGTTTTCAACTGATATGTTTTTTTATTATTTGGTAAAGTCCTTTGTGAATTTGTAATGCTAGTCTACACAGTCTGTTGAAGGACTGTCTTCTTTAAAGAGTCATTAACTTGAAGCTATTTTTAATTATGGATCTGAGAAAACAGTTGTACATAGTTGATAATTTAGACATTTCTGAACAAGCTAGAAGCCATGTATGACATCTATATGAAAGTCTCAATCTGATGAGGCTATTTAAGAAGATGACTTGTATTTTTAGACTAATATTTTGATTTTGTCATATTTTCCAGTGTTGTATGACAAAATCACACCCAGAGCAATCTATCCTCTGTTCACTTTCTTTTTCTCCTATCCTAAATGTGTCTATATTTCTGAGATGAGGTATTATGTACACTATTTACATTATTCAGACTATTGTCCTCATCTTTGTCGCCATATTTATTACAACGTTTCGGCCCTTCAGTATCTGTTTATATTTCTGAGATGAGGTATTATGTACACTATTTACATTATTCGGACTATTGTTCTCATCATTGTCGCCATATTTATTACAATGTTTCGGCCCTTCAGTATCTGTTTATATTTCTGAGATGAGGTATTATGTACACTATTTACATTATTCGGACTATTGTTCTCATCTTTGTTGCCATATCTATTACAACATTTTGGCTGTTGTATGCTCCGGCCTTCTTCAGGTAGTTGGAATGTCGAACTGAACCCTTTATTTCACTCACTGGGGTAGACTGTTCTAATCCCACGTACCATGTTTTTAATGGATATCAGTTATCAGTTTATCTCCTGTTAATTTCCCCCTGAAAGTTCTCTACTGCCTTCACTGGGTATTGGACTCACACTCTTTGGGTTTTGTCACTAGATCTAACCAATGCCTTTATCCACTGTACCATGTGTCCTTGCTAACCAAAACGCTCCTCTGTGGCAAAATCGGTAAAAGCATATCGGGCTATATGACAGTTCCGTATAGGATACAGGTTCAATTCTTGTCGGAGGACACATATTTTCTATGACAATTTCTCGGACATTCAGGCCGGTAAATGTTTAATACTGTTTATTATAAACAGAGTATTTACTTAAATATTTGTATCTATAAAAAGAATGTATAAACATAAAAAATGGCTTAAAATAATTGTGTAAAATATGTGTAGTAGTGGTTGGTTAGTACTACTACTAATTAGCATATATGTATGTGCAGACGTTTATGTATAGGCTCATTATGTAAAGTAATGGCAGTGCACTTGGATTGTAGAACTTATACTGATTCATATAACTGCAATATCTGCTTAGAATATCATAACAATATGGAGTCGCCGATAGGATCTTTGTTGCATGTAAAAGACGCAGACTTTGTTGAAACTTGGATAAGGTACTTTGCAGCAGTTGTTAGAACAAAGAAACGGTGGGAAAACAAAATAAATGGAAGTGAAAAAAAATCACAGATTAATTTCTGGCAACAGCCTTTTGTGTGCCTAATAGGAAGATTTTGCTGATGATTTATTTAACTGAGGTGGAAGAATTGACATTTAACTAAATCAAAGAGATTATTCTAAAGAATATTCAACCAAGGAAAAGGTTGGTCTTTGTAAAACGAACCCAGTTCTTGTTATTAAAACAAGAATGCAAAGAACTCATTATGAAATTTCTGCACTGGCTATGAGACATCAGCAGATATTGTAATTTTCAATGTTTAGGACAAGAAGAAATGTCTATTGAAAAGGAAATGATTCGACAAAGATTAATAGAAGATATGTGTAATACTTAACATAGATTTAAAATGTTAGAATGGTTGCAATTAAACCAAATATTGTTAGAAACATGTTTCGAATTTATATAACAGGATGAGTTGATTGAAAAATTCAATAAGGAAAAAGAAAAACATTCAGAAATTATGGATACATAAAGGATAAAGAAAACAACAGTAAAATGCAAATGGTGTATTTATGAAGATAAACCAACCAGAGAGAAATATCCAGCATGATGACAGATATATAAAAATTATAAAATGAAAAATAATTTTCAATTGGTAGGTAAATATATACAAAATTATGAAGTGTCAAAAAAATGGGAGATGCTTTAAAACTTGAAAATGATGTTTTCTCAATACAGAAGATTAAGACAGAAAATACTTTCATGGAAATTAAATTGAATGGGGGTAAATTTAAATTAAATTGAATGGGGGTAAATTTAAATTAAATTGAATGGGGTAAATTTAAATTAAATTGAATGGGGGTAAATTTAAATTAAATTGAATGGGGGTAAATTTAAAAATGTAAATTGATACCGACAGTGATTCTGAAGAGCTTTTGGCAACAAATGGTTAAATTAAGACAGTTTGATGGGTGATCCATAAAAACATTAAGATCCTTGGAAGACATTTCTGAACAAGCTAGAAGCCATGTATGACATCTATATGAAAGTCTCAATCTGATGAGGCTATTTAAGAACATGACTTCTATTTTTAGACTAATTTTGTCACTGGATCTAACCAATGCCTTTATCCACTGTACCATGTGTCCTTGCTAACCAAAACGCTCCTCTGTGGCAAAATCGGTAAAAGCATATCGGGCTATATGACAGTTCCGTATAGGATACAGGTTCAATTCTTGTCGGAGGACACATATTTTCTATGACAATTTCTCGGACATTCAGGCCGGTAAATGTTTAATACTGTTTATTATAAACAGAGTATTTACTTAAATATTTGTATCTATAAAAAGAATGTATAAACATAAAAAATGGCTTAAAATAAACACTTGAAATGAAAATCAGGATCGAAATTGTTACTATTGTTGTTTCGGACTGCAATAAAAGCCATGGCTTAATACGTACTGATGTGGTTAAGGTTATTAACATGCATCTAATTCATGTTGCGAATTCAGATAATTCTGGAAAGGGAAAGTTAAAAGATTATAAAGCAAGTATTAAATTGAAAGAATATTGTCGCCCCACATATTTTGAATCTCACAGACTTCAAATTCCCTTATCTCCTCTGGTCGATGCCCAAGGACGCATTCCAAAAGCTAGGCAGAGTATTACAAGATAGGAGGATTTCTTTGGTGACAAAGAAGAGTACTGAACTGCTACATGATATCTGTCCTCCTATACGGCAGCAAATGTTGGATGGTCTCCTCAAAGATGAAGAAGAGACTGAAGACAACGGAGATATGGTCCTACAGAAGGATGCTAAGGATACCATGGACCAAGCATGTGAGCAATGATAAGGTCTTGGAGAGGATGCAAACAAGGAGCTTATACTTAACATCAGGAAGAGGCAGATGAAATTTCTGGAACACGTAATGAGAAAGGAAAGCTTGGAGAATCTGATACTCATAGGTCGAATAGAGGGAAAAAGAGACAAGGGAAAGCAACACATGACATACATGGCAAGTGGATGACAGAATGTGGTCTGGGGGAGGTGGCAGGAGGACGAAACTTATTGAGAGCTACACGAGATAGGAGGAAGTGGAGAGCTATGATCGCCTACATCCTGAAAGGACATGGCACATAAAAAGAATGAAAGTTGTGAATGGCACATACCCTGAAATCAACCCTAAAAATGTGGAATTGATAAGTTCTAAACACTTCAAAAAATGAGGCACAGTGGAGTAATGGATAGCGGCTTGGATTGAGGAATCAGAGAGCTGAGTTCGAATTCCAGTCGAATCCATGACATTGACTTATGTGCTAATACCCTTGGGAAAGATATGATAACAGGACAGACTAGGTTCTATAGCCTTGGGCTGCAAATGGTCTAGGAGAAGGCCAACTCTGGATTCAAAATCTGACCCTCCAGTTTGGTGGTTGTGCAGTAGGCTAACAACCTACTCACTTAAAAAAAAAAAAAAAAAAAAAACTGGTTTGTTATAGAAACCGCAAAGATATCTTGCGACCCGATGTTCTTCAAAGAATTTAAAGTCATAATATGATAATCAGACATCCAGGCCGGTAAATGTTGTTAATACTGTTTATTATAAACAGATCATTTACTTAAATATTTGTATCTATAAAAAAGAATGTATAAACATAAAAATGTCTTAAAATAATGGTCGGATTTTGTCCATTTCATAATGTGTGACGTCATTTGTTTACATTTGATATGCCATGAGCAGGTATGAATGTACGTGAGAGATTCATGGAAAATTAAAGTTTAAAGACAGTAAAATTTGACTTTGCTAACTGAATGCTCCTCTGTGGCCGAAACGGTTTAGGTATGTCAGGCTATAAGACGGTTCTGTATAGGATACAGGTCCGATTCCTGTTGGAGGAAAATTTATCAGACATTCAGGCTGGTAAATGTTGTTAATACTGTTTATTATAAAACAGATCATTTACTTAAATATTTGTATCTATAAAAAGAATGTATAAACATAAAAATGTCTTAAAATATGTGTCTGTAAAATATATACTGTTTATATGTTATATATTTGTCAAATATAATCCTTTTCCTATGACAGGATTCAAACCTGTATCCTATACGGAACCGTCATTTAGCTTGACGTGCCGTTACCATTTTATATTTATCGGAGGACGAATATTTTCTGTGAAAATTTCTCGGAGATTCAGGCCGGTAAATGTTGTTAATACTGTTTATTATAAACAGAGCATTTACTTAAATATTTGTATCTATAAAAAGAACGTATAAACATAAAAATGTCTTAAAATAATTGATAGGACTTTGTCCATTTCATAATGTGTGACATCTAATTAAATGTTTTTGTCTTCCAGGGTGATTTCAGCCGTATAACCCTGAGGCAAGAACTTTTCCTTGGTGGTTATGTCAACATGTCAGCCATTTCTAGTAGAGTTGGAACGACCAAGAAATTCTCCGGATGCATCCAGGAATTGGTCATTAACAGTCGGAAGTATGATATGCGCAAAGATCCTCTTCTTGGAAATGCTGTCTATGGTACCAATGTTGGTAAGTAGATATTAAAATTTTTATGTTGTTTGTTTTTGCTTTTTGAATTTTTTTTCTTTTCTTTTTTTTAAAGCTCTTGGATAAAGGAATTTTTTTGTAGGTCTTCATACCAAAATAATAATAATAGCTGGCCACTTATATTTAAAGATACCCGTCTACTAGGGTGGCTAGCCAATCCCTATTTCAGATGCTTGCTCAGGCATATTTGGGTTTGCTCAACACCCACAGAGCTGACCTGTGGTTTATACTGCAACTATGCTGAGCAGACCTTAGTTACGGTTTCAGGGAGAGAGCGTGTTATCTGGTTTGATCAACAAGTTGAACAATGCCAGCATACTCAAGCCCTCACTTATGGCTTTGTGCTAGCACAGCTATTGTCAGCTCAAAAAAGTTCCATCTATCCAGTTTCACTGACAAGGTTTGTGTCAACCTGTGGTATGGTTTTCAGGCACTTTCCAAAGGTGCCACGCACTGGGATTGACTTCGATCCAGTACAATAACATCAGGAAATCTTCTTCCTGACAAATCGACCATGGTGAGATTTGAACCCGGTCAGAAAGCGAATGTTCTAACCACCCAGCCACACGCCCATATATACCAAAATATCCACAATGGATATGGCAGCCATTTTATATTTGCTCCAACTTTGATATGAGAATTAAGGAAAGTGTTTTTTATTTACTCATCCCTATAAGGACCCATTCTTTTCTTTGTCAGCCATTGACTTGTAATGATAGTATAGTCAAGATGACTGTCAATTTAATGTACAACAGGGAGCTTTGGATTCTTGCTTACTTAAGGTAATTAATCCAAAAGTATTTTTCTTTTTTTAATCAAAATAAGGTATTATTATTTATGCTATTTGCATGTGGACTATTGCCCACCTTTTTTTTTTAATCACAATGTTCTGCTCGGAAATTCACTTTCAGAACAATAACCTAGTGGAATAAAGTGTTGGTTTGTGAATTTGGGGATACCATAATTGTAAGTTCAATTCCTGAGCCAGGCAGTGTATACTTGGACTCAGAGGAAGTAGAGCGAGCAATGACTGAACAATACTAAAAATTACATGAGATATCCCTAGACATGAACAGTGGACTGAGAACATTCAACTCATGTAGATTAAATAAAGGTTTCAGTATGGAATTACCCAGTTCAATATACACCTGATGAATGCCAGAGGACACAAGACTGAAACATTGTGATAACAACAACAAAGATGAGATCAATAGTCCACATATAAATAGTGTAAATAATAACTCCTCATCCCAGAAATTCAGACAGTAGGTGTTGTTGTTACAATGCAGGTCTGCCACATTGAGCTTACAAGTAGCAAATTGGGCTGCATTTATTGCTACTCAATTTTGATTTTTTTTTTTTCATTCTGCTGTGGTAAACCCTCCTACAGTAGAATGAACTCTTCCTTCTGCGAGACTTCCTAGGTGAGAGTCGTAGGGCAGCCTCTGGCTGTGTACGATTTTTGTCAAACTCTCTGCTTTGGCAGAGAGGAACCCGGATGAGGCTTTGCCAAAGAGCAAAGTTTTGTCTGGGGAGGTAGTCAGATCCCGAACCTGTTTATGCGGGTTCTAAGGGAATATTTTTGGCCGAGCCTCCGGACTCGGAGAAACCCACGTTAAACTCGGCCTTGTGCCACATGCATTTCTCGTGGTGGTGGTGGTGGGGGCTGTTAAATATAGAGTTGTAGGGCAGTCGGTTGGAGAGCAGAGATGCAGTGTTAACCTGACCGTTCGGACGTACACCTCTATCTGCTTAGTACTAACACTCTTGCTTTGTAAATATCTGTAATTTCAATATACTTGTTCAACCTACCTTTGTCTTCCATGTCTTTCTTTCTGGTCCCTAAACAGGCCACAACACATTCAAGTTTGCCCAGCTTTTTTTTTTTTTTTTGTAGTGAAAAGTTTGTAAACTTTTTATTTTTTCTGGCTTGTAATCAATTCCTGCAATTCATTTCCTTAAGTGAAACACTCCACTGACTGCAACACACATCTCCTGTTCTATACACTAGTCACCATCCTCCCTGTCACCGCGTTATGCACATTTTTTATATCCTTTTGACGGCCAAAATTTACATATATAAAAAGAGACTGTCACAAGATTCTATCAGACTCCTCTATCTGTTTTAAATGTGTGACCTGCAAAGCCGCCATTTTTTCCTTTTGGGATAGTTTACATGCAAGACATGTTCGAATCCATTTTCATCCTGGAGCTAAGCCATTTTCCCTATTGTTACACTGATTGTTGCAAAAAAAATGCATCAAACCCTGGGCGTCTTTGCTCTCTGCGGTAGTTACCTACATTTAAAAAAAAAAAAAACAATAACCCGACAAAAAAATCAGAACTGGAAATTTAGTGAAGCTGGGCTTTCAAAACGTGGACAAGAAATACCTAAAGGTTTTATTATTGAAGGAGATAATCATAACGACGTAAGTTACACAGATGAAAACTCTCATCAAATTTGGAATGAAAAGAGAGAAGAAAGGACTAATCATCAATTTTAAGAAGACAGAATATATGACCATGAGCATGGGGGGGACATCCCAAGATTCAAGTTCTGAATTGGAAATGTCAAAGTTAAACACCTACATAAATTTAACTATCTGGGAAGTGTTTTAACAGATGACGGAAAAATATGACAAAAATCCGAAGGTGCACTGGAATAGGGAAAGTTGTTTTCCAAAAGAGAATTAAGAAACAGAGTACTGAGAAAAAAAAATCAAAATCAGCTTCAAATTTAGTTTTGTTTTGTTTGGTTTGTTTTACAGCATATCAACCTCAATGGGACATTTAATGCCGACAACTTTTTTTTCCTGGTAATATTCTGGTTTTGTCTAAAATCTATTTTTTCTCAAAAAAATGTATAATGGTAATATTATTTTTTCAAAAACGTATAGTTGGTTATTTTTTTCAAAACATATAGCTGGTAATATTATTTTTCAAAAACGTATAGCTGGTAATATTATTTGTTCAAAAAAGTATTGCTGGCAATAGTTTTTTCTTAAAAAAACGTATTGCTGGTAATATTTTATAATGCTTTTTACCTCAGTTTGGGGTTAACTATTTACCCATAGCTGGGACCTTAACAGGTGCTACCACCCCAGGTCAGGGTGGACCGGGGAACAGCGGCAATTAAGAGGTGGTTCCATGCTCCTCAAAACCTCCTGATCAGAGGCCTTGCTGCTGGACGTAGTTTATCGTCATACCCAGGACACGGATGTAGTTTATCGTCATACCCAGGACACGGACGTAGTTTATCGTCATACCCAGGACGCGAATGTAATCTGAGTGTTCACTATTTGCCCATAGCTGGGACCGTATCAGGTGCTACCACCTCGGGTCAGGGTGGACCTGGGAATTAAAAGGTGGTTCCACACTCCTCAAAACCTCCTGATCAGAGGCCTTGCTGTTGGACATAGTTTATTGTCTTACCCAGGACGCTCAAATTTAGTCATATAACTATTGGGCTAGTGCATAATTATCAGGCGTTTTTAAACAATATTTATTATGAAAAAAGAAACATAAGAATCCAACAATAACATTTTTAAATGATTATTCCAGAGTGTATAACCTGAAAATAAAATAATGTTTTTATAAAAAAAAAAAGTAGACGAAACAGCAATTTTTATTAACAAATAACTTGCCTACAAAAACGCCTGATAATTATGCACCAACCCAATACATTCTTCCTTATTCGCTTTACTTCTTGGCATAAAATAAATAAATTAATAAACATGCCGTATATACTCAAGTAGAGTGCAAGCTTTATGATCCCTTTTTTACACAAAAATAAGGGGTTTCACTATACACAGGTAATTTTTTTGACGAGTTTAAAAATCAGGCATTTTTGGTGACCAGTTGCACTATACACAGGTAATTTTTTCTGGATGTGTTATAATTCATGCAAAAAAATCCAGGGGTTCCTGTAGAGTTACTTATTCATGGGAAGTAGTACACACTCAACTGCCTCATGGGTAATAGCTGTAGCTGTTTATACTCTTTGTGACTTCATATATAAATGAGTCACCTCCTCTCCCTGTACCAAAGAGGTTTTATCCCCTTATTTTCCCTGTTACTTCTTCTGGGAGTTTTTGTCTTATCTTTCTCCCTCTCCCTAAGAGATTGTCGAGATATGAGAGATCTTGACCTTCTTTTTATATTATAGGCATGTTATGTTTTTCACTATTAGCTAACATATTGTCAAATGTCATTTCCTCTAATTGTCTTGGGTGTGCAAATGCTGATAATTTTATAATGGCCTCACAACTAGCAGTTGCCAACAAGAGGTGAGTTATTTGGTTTCCTCCTCCGACTGATTTTAAATTCTTTAGTTTCAGCTGCTAGCATCCTAAGCCATACTTGTGCACACTCATAATTAGCAAGTGATAATTGTTCATTCAGTTTATAAGATACCAGCGATGCTAGTATAGTGTAGTGCTACTAACTCATAGCAAGTAGTATGCACTTAACTGCCTCATGGGTTATAGCAGTAGATATTTATAGTCTTTGTGACTTCATATGTAAACAAGCCACCTCAGTTGCAGGAAACATAAAGTTGCCTTATATGGTAACACTCTTAGGCTAAGACAAAACATATTCATTATCAATTTTTTTTTATTAAGAAACAGAAAAATTTTATTAGAAATAAAGAAACGAGTGCTGGATTGTTATTTAATATGAATCATCCTCCAATATGAAATGCTGAACACTATCTTCACAGATGAAGTGAAGGCTTGGGGAAACAAGATGTGATTCTACAGTAGGATGTTGAGAATTCCTTGAACAAAAACTAGGCTTATCTAGAGGATTATTATAGCACATGGCTATATATATATATATATATATATATATATATATATATATAAAATTAAAATAATAATAAATCAATAACTATACTGTCATGCATATTTATTTACAATATGATGAACAACCCTTGAGTTTCATAATAAAATTTCACACCACCAAACATCTTGTCACTAAAGTACAAAAA